CAATAGAAAAGTGTCAGTGCAACAGAAAAGAAGGTTACAATGATAGAAAACAAATCACAATTTATTATTCAGGAAGATAACGTAAGTAGTCATGCTCACTTAAAAATTGAACCGATATACAAATCAGGAACGAAGCAAAGACGGATGTCTAAAATTATCGGAGATGGGACCAGGTGCCATGGAGGAATGAGCATCTCCTGTCGCATTGTGTTCCTTATCATTATCTGGTAAACGCAAAACTCCGTAGACAATTCATCTCAAAAATACATGTACAGAATGGACTAAACGTTTTCAAATTTCAACACAATGAAATACATGTACATGTTTATGCAAAATAAATGAACGTTTACATTTAACCTAATAATTGAAGTAGAAGTTCATCGTTTAAACCTTGATTTTTACAGACGGTTACGACATGGCTGATCTGTACCTTCACTGGAGAAGCGGACTCCATTCTGTACACGGCATTCAGGAAATAGAGCTTCCTCAGTTTTCCATAGTAGATTACAAAACGGTAGAGAAGATCGAAAGTCTACTGACAGGTGCGTGCCAGAGTAAACTTTTTTACTTTATACAAGTACATGAGGAAATGGGCATAACCATTTAGGACCTGTCAAAATATATTTTATATATTTGATATAACGAATTAGCTAGTTTTAAATCGGATTTCGTACAATAATCCTAAAGTATTAAGATACCGTATAATACCTATTAACCGCCCCTGCCCCTATAAGCGCCCCCTTAAGTCTTTTTCAATTGTCAAGAAATAAGGCCCCCCTGTACGGTGATTAATATAAAAAAGAATGGTATCAAAAAATTGAAGAAAGTGAAAATGAAACTTGTCTATTACCAAATATCTCGGTGGAAAAAGAATAATTTAGCATAATTTGGGTGGATTATCTTCACTTTAAGTAAAGTTAGACATTATTTTAGTGGTTCCTTGTATTTACTTTCTTTTTCAAAAGATTTTTTGAAGTTAAAATATGGCATTAAATATCATAAAGAGAATACCAAAATAACTGCCCCTTTTTGCAATTTTCTAAGCGCCTGGAGCGGTTAATAGGGATTATACGGTATATCAAGTTCAGAAAAAGAAATCATTATTACCTAACAAAATAAATATGAAATGAAACCAGAAGTCTCTGTCAAGACTGAAGCTCTACTGGTTTGTACTTATAGCAATTGGGAATTGAAACTTTTCAACAGCAATAAATAGAATAATGATCCTTGATTAAGTCTCTTTATGTTCTTAGTGTAGTCTTTGCATGCCACATTATATTATAATCATACTAAAACTGTATTTGAAGTAGCATTATGAGAGTATTTAACAGAAATTTCTATTTTTAGTAACCTTGGCAACACCGTTCATTGAAGTGAAAAACTGATATACAGAATTTTGTACCTTAGTGTAGTCTACTTGTGTGCCAAGTAATATTGAAATCAGACCAAAACTGTAGGAGGTGTAGCATTTTGAAAGAATTTCACAGAAATTTCTATTTTTAGTAACCACGGCAACATCGTTTCAAAAACCGATACACAGAATTATGTATCTTAGAGTAGTCTACTTGTGTGCCAAGTTATACTGAAATCAGACCAAAACTGTAGGAGGAATAGCATTTTTGAAAGAATTTCACAGAAATTTCTATTTTTAGTAACCACGGCAACACCGTTCATCGAAATCAAAAACAGATAAACAGAATTATGTATCTTAGTGTAGTCTACTTGTGTGCCAAGTTATATTGAAATCAGACCAAAACTGTAGGAGGAATAGCATTTTGAAAGAATTTCATAGAAATTTCTATTTTTAGTAACCACGGCAACACCGTTCATTGAAATCAAAAACCGATACACAGAATTATGTTTAGTGTATTCTACTTGTGTGCCAAGTTATATCAGACCAAAATGTAGGAGGAGTAGCATTTTGAAAGAATTTCACAGAAATTTCTATTTTTAGTAACCACGGCAACACCGTTCATTGAAATCAAAAACCGATAAACAGAATTATGTGTCTTAGTGTAGTCTACTTGTGTGCCAAGTTATATTGAAATCAGACCAAAACTGTAGGAGGAGTAGCGTTTTGAAAAAAAAAAATGTCAATGGAAAAAAATGTAGAGCTAAAAAAATGGAAAAGAAATTGTTCAAATCGTAAAATATGGATAATTTCAGACATCAAGGACTTTTGTTCAGGCTATACAAGTATTTGAGAATACGTCTTTACTTTTTCATCTATAGGAAAATATCCCCGTCTCTCCCTGAGTTTTAAACTTCACCGGAATGTGGGTTACTTCATCTTCCAGACTTACCTCCCCTCGATCCTCATCGTTATGTTGTCCTGGGTCTCGTTCTGGATCAACCATGAGGCCACTTCAGCAAGAGTAGCTCTAGGTACCGGTATTTCGATATCTCACTGGCCTGGGAAAAACCATAGGCGTCCGAAGCAAATTGAAAGGGGGATGGGGGCTAAACCAACAAAAAAGGTAAACTCAAATTTTCAATGCCTATATAATGTCTATCTTTGCAAAAAAAGTGGCTAAGCCCCCCCCCCCCCTCCCCGGTTCCGACGTCTATAAAAACTCGGTGATTGGATGGACGACCAAACCTTTTTTTTAAAAAACCAATGAGCTGCAAAGACGGTATTCTCTTCGGAGAAATGGACAGGCTTTCGCCTACAGGATGTCCACTCCTCTAAAGAGAATACAAGATCGACTACAGCAAATTTTGTGATCGACTTTCATTCCATTTCTTCAAACCATGTTCAAACTGATGCCCTGTTCACACGGAGAGTTTAATTCGAATTAAACGTAAAGTTACTGCGAATTAGCTTCGCTTTGCGTTCACACGGAGAATTTAATGCGAATTAGTTAAATTCGAATTAGTTTACTGCGCATTAAATTACTTCGCATTAGCTCCATGTGAACGCTAAGCGACGCTAATTCGAATTAAATTCTGACGCGTGCGTAATGACAAAATTTAGTCAAATACCACTTTTCGATGGTCAGCTATAGGTACTTGTGCTATTTTTGAATGAAAAACTGAAGAAAATTTTGTTTATCATTAAAATGTGTGTACAGACACTGTGACATTATGTCAAATGCATCTGCTCCTGCATAAGGTGACGTGATTTGCAAATGACGCATAATAGCCTTACTGATGCCTGGCCGTAGAAGTAGAATTTTTTAATTCGTATTAGTTTACTTCGCATTAGCTGTCGTGTGAACGAAATTTAATTCGCATTAGTTTGATTCGCATTAGTTTACTTCGCATTAAATTGCTGCGAATTAAACTCTCCGTGTGAACAGGGCATGAGACAAAACCAACATAGCTGCAGAGCTGTAGCTAGCTGGTCTGAAAAAGGGATGGATGACATTCACAAAACAGTAGACCTTGTTACAAGTATTGTTAAAGGCATTGTCCTCTTGTCTTTAACAGGTATTACAACTGTTCTTACCATGACGACGATCAGTAATGGTGTAAGGTCGTCTTTGCCAAGGATTTCCTATGTGAAGGCCATTGACATTTACTTGGTGATGTGTTTTGTGTTTGTCTTTGCGGCGCTGTTGGAATATGCTGCTGTTAACTATACATACTGGGGAAAGAGGGCCAAAAAGAAAAGGCGCGGCAAAGAAGAAACCCCTCGTCGGACATCACGAAAGGATAACGCGAAAGTAAATCCAAAATGAGTATTGTTATATTTCTGTTATGTCCTCTAAAATTATTTTTAGTTTAAATATTTTATAAATTTCAGCTGTCAAAACTGAGGTGAAAAATGGTTAAAATTGATGATATTCCTTGTGTTTCTTACAGGACAAAGAAGTGCAAAAACGAAATGTGGACAATTCCGATATGTCGCCAGTTATTTCTCTCCGAAGTATGAAAGAAACAAAGATAGAACTAGAAGCTGGGGACATTCCAACCATTCCAAGAGCGTGTATGTCACGTGGTTATATCCCAGAATCCCTTGTTAGAAGAAAACGCTCATCAAGTTTAAAAATAAAACGTATGCAAACTACACAAACAGTACAGGATCAAAGAACCAATAAATTCAAATTAAATTTTCTTTCTATTGAGGATGTTAACAACATCGATAGATTTTCTCGATTGCTGTTTCCAGTGCTTTTTCTACTTGTTAACATTGCTTACTGGGGATTTTACCTAGTTTTGTAAAATTTGTTAATATCAACGAAAATAAAAAACTTCATCATCATTTTATAAATTTATTACTTTCTTAATTAATAAATAAAAATGAAAATGACAGTTATTCAATGGCTCATAATCCACACTGCTCACCAAAGACACAGACATTTTAATTATACATGAGAATGATTTAATTTAGTCACATTTTTAATATGGTAAATTGTGACCATTTTGTTAAACCTTTACACTCCTTTAGCTTTGCCCTATCCTTTGGGCCATTATATAAATCTACACAGCAAGGGAATGCAATTTGTGCTCAGTTTATATGCTTTTCTGTTAAGTCAATATATCTGGATCAACCTTGGGAAAGAGCTATATTTGTAAAATATATACAGATATAAGGAGGTACATGAATACAATAAATTAAACATTTTAAAGTTACATGATCTGAAGAGTTCTATCACAAATAAGGACAAATATATATTGAATAAATTTGAATTCCTTCTACCAAATACTTTGTGCCAAGTTCTACAGATAGAGTTGAATTCTGAAGAAGTAAAGAGTGTGAAAGTTAACAGACCAACTGCCTGACAGCCAACAGACAAGCTTTGATCAGTAAGGCTTATTATAGTTATTGGCCCTAAATTGTTTTACTAACATAAATAATGTAATTTGGTAGAAAAATATGTATCACAGGTACTGAGTTTTGAGACAATATTTTGATAATTATAAGTGAAATATTAACTAAAACCTACAGTGTCTTAATACACACATTACAAACTACAATACCATATAAGTGGAAATTATATGGAGATGCAAGTTTAACAATTTGTGCTTAAAAATCAATATAATTCAAGCAAAAGCAATTTTAGTGACAGTGTTACTAAGAAATAAGCAACCTCCAATGTAGAATGAATTGCTGGTGATATTCAATTTAAGCAATGTTAACACCCTCTTTTATCATGCCAAATTAAATCCTGGCTGAAATTTCTTCTTATAGGGTATACTATGAAAACAGCTTAACTACATTGCAGTACTTTGATTTCTCTGGCTTTCAAATGTTGCAAAATTTGCTAAAAATGTCAGAAACATTGTCAGATAAAAGGCTCCCAGTTCTATGAAAGCACTTGTCAAAGGTGATGGTCATTCAACTGAATTCCCATAATTCCATTGTGACCGTCCCTCATGTACAGGTACAGTCCTCCACTCCCTCCCTCAGGGTCACCTGGGAGGTGGGTGTGGCAGAAGGATCTGGGTCCAGGGCCCAGACAGGGGAGTACCCCCAGGAGTCTACCATCACAGCTGTAGTGACAGAGGTGTTCAACATAGGCCTCAGACTGGGCATTGTGCTGGGTGAAGGTCACAAGAAATCCCACTGTAAGATAAAAGGATATGATGTCAATATTTCATTTAAGGAACAATGCATCTATTCTAAAAATTTTAACCTGTTCTTTTTATTATTTAAAGAACCTCTAGACCAAACAGAAATCCTGATTCAGTTTCTGAAAGCACATGGTTCAATGCTGTGTACTACTGTATTCAGGGTTATTTTCACACCCTGTTTTTTCGCCCTTTCAGACTTGAAAACAATTGTGTCCTAATTTAAATTTACCCAGTCATAGTTTTGTTAAAGAAATTATACTGTATTCTATGAATTTTCCCCATTTTAAATTCGCCCAAAGGAGGATTGGGTGAAAGGGGTGAAAATAACATGGGGGTGAAAATTTCCCTGTATACAGTGGTCTATCCAAAAGTACATTGTATTTACAGATATCAGGAATGTCAAGGCCACATTACCAAATGAAGTCTTGGTAAGGTTACAATATTACTTGTTCTTTTGCCTTATCAATACATTTACATGAACATTTTATATGAGCCATGTTGTGATAGTGAATAGTAGTACTGTACCAAGCTCAGGACTAATGAGATGCAAAGGAAATGGACCATAACAGTGTACTGACCTGAAGTACTAATGAAGTAGGCTTCCACTGGATAACCTGCCAGGGTCAAGGTCAGGAAGACAGAGACCTCTGTGCACCTAGCAAAGATGAGAAATTAGGTCAACACAATGTACACTGAAAAATTGGTTCAAAAAATGCTACATACTTAGTGGAATATTTTTGAATATATAATTTCCTCAATGAATTTTTGAAGGGTATTTCTGCTCCAGTGGTGGTGATGCTGTTTAATAATAATTAGAACAAAAGAAATACAAAATGTAGATCAATATAATATTTCAAAAGATAGAAACAAATTTCATAAGCTGCCTACTTTGAGATATCAGAGGGTACTTCCAGACACACTAAGGTTCTGTCTAAAGCTGCTATACACCACAGGTAAGTCCCGCTGTCCCTGGTGACTGTCTGTGTAGATAACACCTGAACAGTTTTAAAACTCTGCTCTATCTCCTGTCTGCTTTCTCCTATCCTTAGCTTCAAATCACTACAAGATGATACAAGATCTGAACACAATTACAAGAATATATAACTAGTGGTATTGTGAGCACATAAAATAATATCCCATCACATTTCTTTAAATAGCCCTACCCTCAGGTTATAAAAAATCCTTGTACCAAGTTTTAGCTTCCAGTAATTCTTCATTTATACAAAGTAATAGCCCTGAGAAAGTTGCAAGGACACATGGAAGACAGACAGATGGACAAAGTGATTCCTATATACCTCCCTAAACTTTGTTTTCAGAGGGAATTGAAATTAAAAAACCTCAAAAACATTGTAAGTCAGCTATACATTTGACATTATTTAGTTGTCTTGAGTAAAAGCTTCGACGACTAAACTTTGTATCTTTCTAAATGTCAAAAAGTCAGTGTATAATGTCTTGAAAATCCACAGTGAACTTTTACAAAGGGATCATAACCTAAAGGCATAAACAATATTTAATTTACCATTGACAGGATTTTGTGATATTAATGTTGAGAATTCGGAGCTGATGAGCTGCCACAAACTGTGTCTTGTTGTCCATTAGAACAATCAGAACATCCCCAAAGGCTGCTACTGAGGTGGCCTCCTTTATGTCAGGACTGTAGAATTCTTCTCCATCCCTCCAGGACCACAGTCTGCAAGGTAAAATAAAATTTCTATAAAGTACATATATAATATAATCATCATTATGATGCCAAGCAAATTATTTGAATTGTACCCCTCTCCTACATAGAATGTTCTATTGTTAAAATGATAATTGTTTTACTGACCTTGAACTTGCTGGATTGACCTTGGGTCAAAATAAATACAAACAATTATGTCATATTCAATCTTTGTATGAGGTATGAACTACCAATGTTCCTCCATTATATAGGATGCTGTAGATCAGACATTCATTATATACTTTTTTCTGTCAATGACCTTGAACTTGCAAAATGGCCTTATGTCAGGATCATTGCAGAAATCAAATAAAAAAAACAATATATTTACCAAATATGAGCTTCTAATGATTTTATATTACAAAGTTATAGACCAGCATTACAAACATATAGGACAATGTGTCTACTATCGGAATATATTTAACCCCCCCCCCCCAATCCATTGTGAATTGATTATCCTGCTAGAAGGGGAGTTAATAAAGAATTCTGATTTTTACCTTTTCTCATGGCTGATAGCTATAAGTTGGTCTTTTATTATCAGTGGGTAAACTTGTTTCTTGTAAATGCTCCTTTGTAGTACAACTCCATGTCCAATGGTATCATTTTGATTTATAGTTTCAATCTTTGAACCATCTTGATCATATATTTCAATTAACCTAAAATTATAATGAATAACATATCATGGGTACTTTATCAATGCAGTGGCTGGTTTATCTTTTCTCCAAAATTCAATGCTTTTAAATGAAATGAATATTTTAAAGAGATAAATCATATGATTTTTGCTAACGTTATTCCTTTTGAGATAAATCGATGTTTGAGATATCAAAGTTCAACTGAAAACTTCCTAAACGAAAAATGTTTCCTTACCTGTGTGAAGAATAGAAGTGAATGATGTCTGCATTGTTGATTCTGTATCCCTGATACAACTGACATGGCCGTATATTGTAAGGGTTCTCTTGACTTTCATTGTAGTGTATGAATTCTCGAGACCATTTCCCTTTGTAATAGATCTTCACTTCCAAAAACTTCTCAGCTGAAGAACAGTTTGCTATCTGAAGCAGTAAAAAAGTTACATTATACCCATGAAAGTAATTATTCATCCGTTTCAAAGAGTACTTTTATAATTTATCTCAAAAAATGTTTATGTAAGGGATAAATAACGAAATGGTGTTGAATAGTTTAGAGAAAACATCCCCTATTCGGACCTTCAGGAGAGGGCTGAATCCTGTTTAAAATTTCTGCTTATACACTAATGTAAAATCACACATTTTCCTGGGGTCAAATTTTTGAGGTATGAGTAAAATATCTTAGTTTGTGGGGATTTGAATTTGTGGGTCTCTTCATAGCTCGAAAACAACGAAAAATTAAATCTCCATGAAAATTTTTGATGTCACAGTATTTATGGGAAAAAAAGATAAACAAGAGAATTTTGAGCACACTTTTATACTATGTCAATTCAGCAATAACAAAACTCACCACAAGAAAGCGTGATGTTGTAAATGGATCACTATGGTCAAATATCATGGCTACCGCCTTCCCAAACATGAGAGGTTCTGTCACCAGTTTAAATGCATGCCTCGTCCCCGTCACTTTCCTCTTTTTTTCCTTCTTTTTCTTTCCTTTGTCTTTATTTGATGATTTTTTTGAACATCTAGAAGCTTCATTTTTCACAAACGTGGCAATAGACTGAAAGAAATAACACCCATTTGTGAAATACTGATGCTCCTGGAGGTAACTCGCTGTGAAGGTTAAAGTTTATCCAATGACCCGCAGCTGCCTTGGGTCAAGTGATTGAAAAATATTGGTATCTAAAGAAGAGCCTTGTCACAAGGAATAAACCAGTGAAATATAAAAGCCATAGCACCAACTATTACGGCCAAAATTAAAGTTTTTCAAAGGCAAGTTCAACTTCAAGGTCAAGATCTCAGAGGATAAAAAGTGGTGATTTAACTTGGGAATAAACATGTCAGTGGAAAGGATATTTTCATTATTTGAACATTTGATAATCAAATGTAGATGATAATATCCAGGGGTAAAAAATACTGAACACTTGTGAACTGTACAGCTCTAAATCAAGAATTTCTTTTTAAAAAAAACAATTATTAAGAAAAATGACTCGAGAAGAGAAAGCTACCTCCTCCAAACAAACCTTTCTAACCTTTTCTTCATTTAATCTCAACTAAAGAAACCCATACGAAGAAACCCTTGCCAACATTATATTAATATGTAGTGCCTAAAATATTGCAATAAGAACTTAGCTTACAGGTGCTTCCATTGTACATCCTGTATTGTGTAATGCCCGCAAAACATCTAATGCCATCTGTCGTTGAGATTCTTCTGAAAAAGGTACCTTATATTTCAACTTCTCTTCCTGTCTCTATTGAAAAAATGTTAATAATGATTTTAATGAAGCAGCAAAAGGTTGTAGAATTTTTCATTGTTACCCAGAAAAAAATATTTTACCTGATAGATCATGTCTGCGAATTTGTTGATGAGATTGACCTTGACCTTTCTACCATTAGGTCCTTGCCAGATCAGATGACAGACATTATGTCTGAAGTCATTGTACTTGTAGAGCTCAAAATTTGTCTGGCACGTCATCAGCAGATGGACGCATACTCCGTCCTCGTCATGGTAGACCTCTAGAGGGGTGGGTATAGCTAGTCTCCAGGGGTCAGAATCTGAGGGATCCACAGACTTCATGACCCCCCTCCATGGCTCCGTCCCATTGTTGTTATAAGTAATCATACTGAGAAAAAACAATTCAAGGGATTAGAAAGTGCTCTACAGAAAAATTTAACTGCTCTTTAGAAAATAATACATATGTACTACATAATGTAGAAATTGAAGGCAAATATCAGATACTTTTCTTAAACATGAATTCAATATTATGTACAAAATGCTTTATGAATTTAAGGACTCAGTAATATAATTAGGAAGTCCAGGATGAGACTTTGAATCCATTTGTCTTTGTATGACAATCAATAAAAAAATCTTCTGGAATTGAAACATTTAACAATAATGGGTTTTTACATGTAAAATTTCCATGATGATCAGAAAAACAATCAAAAATTTTAAGACATCCCATATCCTTCAATAATCTGTTTCTAACAAACCAAGATATATCTCAGACCCCTATTTTGTAAACCAACCCTGTATATGGATCTAGATAAATTCCACCACTAGGGGGCGCCAGTAGCTGCATATCTCCTGTCAGAAATCCTTCTGATGTCATCCTTAAATTAAGCTGCTCTGAGACAACATCTGCTTCTTGGGTTACTCTAAAATGGAAAATTTTATCTAAGTATATTACCAGTATATCATTGTACAAAAATTTCTGATGTCAAATGTTCTAAAATCTTATTAAAGGAAAGAGTTATAATATTTTAGTAAACAAATAAGATTATCTTTAAATTCATAAATAATGCAAAAAGTTACCTAGGATTTGTTTGAACACACAAAGGTCTGAGCTGAGTTCTCCAGAGAACAGGTATACAGGTTATCTGCCCTTGTTTTCTGGCTACATCCACCAGGGGGAGCCATGGATTATCTGTTCGTCTGTGAACCATATCCTCCCCAGGAAGATGAGGACCAAAAACTCGACTGGAAATAGAAATACAACATTTACAAATAAAATGCAATATAGCATAAAAAATTAATTTTACTTACAGAATATGACCCTACCTGATCATGCAACCGGATATAAACTTACTCTCTGAATTCACAGTAACATTTCATTGAGTTGTGGGCATTTCCTCTGAGAGTGTGAACTAAGGAGAGATGAACTGGATATAAACTTACTCTCTGAATTCACAGTAAGATTTCAGTGAGTTGAGAGCATCTCCTCTGAGAGCGTGAACTAAGGAGAGATGGTACAGAAGCTGGGGATGTTGTGAACACAGAGGAACAAGTCTTCTGACTGATTCATCTAAGTAGTCACCTATAAAGTGAAAAAAAATCTTACTTTTAAAGACAGCCACACAGTTAAAATATCTTTGAGGTTCACTGTGCCTCTTTTCATACATGTTAACTCTCCCGATTTAGGCGGGAGTCTACCGCTTTTTCACTCCATCTCCCGCCTACCGATTTAATTCAGAAATCTACCGCTTTTCTACAAAAGCTGCGTCTAAAGTATTTTTGAGTTCGAACTTGGGTATCCATTTTTGAAGCCACTCTCATAAAATCTCGCTAGATATCGCGTGATTTGACTCGGAATCATACAAACGCTTTTTTTGTACAGAGATTTCAAGCACGGATTTGACAACGACAACAACATAAGACTACCAGTGATTACATTGGTTACGATAAATTAATCGACATCCCTGCCATGAAAAAGGAGATACAGCTTTTAAGAATTAGATGAAAACATTTGACATCGTCTTTAAAAGCACAGAAGCTCACAACTTTATCAATAGTCAATAGAAATCACTCGATTGACCAAGCCATGTGGCAAATCTCTACTTTCGTTTTCGATCTTCGCGGGAAATCTGATTTATATAACGAAAGATACGAACTTGTTTTAGATCTAGATTAAACCATGCCATCATTTGTTTTGTTTAAAAACCGAATGAACATTCAGAATTATTGCTTCTAGGCTATTTCAGCAAAGATCACTCTTCAAAAGGCTAAGTAAAGCAGCCAATCCAAGCAAAATGATGAGCATGAAAAATATTTGAATTTGTACAATTAATTTATGGTGTTTCTGTCTTCTTCTTTGCTGTTGATATTTAATATTAATTAGTGTAGGTACCTGATTTAATTTTAGGCTTATAATATACATGTATATTACATGAAAGATATCGATAATCCAAGCGTTAAACAACACGCGCGCAATGCTACCGCTTTTGAGGTCTGAATCTCCCTCTTTTTCATCACAATAGGTTAACATGTATGCTCTTTTCACTCATAATTAATCTTGTTATAACATTTATTATTGAACTTTAAAATAGACAATAAGTGTGATTTTTATTTAAAATGCACACAATTTCAGCATATTTTGTGGCAAAACATTTGACGGACATGACATTTGAAAACAAAGAAATAACAGCCACTTATCTCTCTGAAAGTCATCTCCCTTACCAGTGGGTAAATGAACCTTAATTTTTCATTAATATATGTTTTTTAAATAAAAACACCCAATTCCCAATTCTTTAATAAGGAGTATTACAAATAAGAGAAATCAATGAATAAAAAAAGACAAACATTAAGCAGAACAACCCATCTAGCCTTGTTTAAGTGAGCTAAAATCACTGTCTTGCCTTGCCATGAACCAGCATGAAAACAGAGCCAGTGTTCCACTGCCGTCAATGCTGCACCATCCGAGACGTAACCTTCACAAGCAAACACCGACTTCCAGGAGTTCCAGGAAGACTGGGCCTTCTCCTTCATACTCCTAAAAAATAAATAGACTGAACATGTAGCTGAGCACCTCATATGAATCTGTGTCAGTATATTTTAATTTCTTCAAATAAATGTATACCCATCATTTAATACATGTACCCACTACTGGTGGTACACAGTGTATTACATTACTGTATACAGAACAAAATGTGTTTGTGAAACACTATGCCTCGGCAGCAACAAAGTTTGAAAAAGCTATTTTTAGCATATAGGTCACAGTCAAGGCCACAGGGTCATTTAAGTCTCTATCTCTCATGGTTCAAAGGTTATGGTGAAGGTTAAAGTTGACAACAGACAGACATACAAACAGACAGGACAAAAACAATATACTCCCTGGATCTATCAATCCAGGCGCATAAAAATGAGATGGACCACACCAAATTTCAAACCCAGCCCCCTTGACTCTCCAGTCAGGTGCTCTACCAACTGAGCTATTTGGCAACCAGAGACTAAATTTAAATGACCACAACACATGTTATAAAGTATTCCACTCACCCCTGGTCATTCAGATTGGCCAACAGCATCATAGCCTGACCCTCTATTTCAGGAGCATGCTGGGTATTTTGGGGTTTAGATAGGACAGCCTCTGAAGCTAATCTATAAAATTTGGCAGCACTAGCTGTTTCTCCTGATATGGCATGCATCCGACCTGCTTCATTTAAAAATGCTGCCTTGTATCTATCTATAATATAATATATAATAAAAAACAAATAAGCCGCATTGCATGTTAAAAGAAAATAGGTATTCTTGGTATAACTATTATGTAGTGCACCAATTTATCAATCAAATCTTTCAAGTTCAAAATGCCACAAGTACAAAACATACGGAAGAAATTTTTTTTTACCATTTCACATGTCAAGAATGCATTACAAAGGAACAATACTTTAATAAACAAAATTCTACTTGACCTTTAATGCTACAATTAACTTGTACATGTAGATACTAAAATCAGGAAAACATGAATGTACAAGTGAACTTCTGATCTTTAGAGTTATCCAATGAATTTCAGCAATAAAAAATAAACTTCTTGCAAAATGATTAATAAATTTTTTATAAATATACAAATGTATAGGAATACAGTACCCACAAGCCATGATTTATGCCAAAAGTTGAATTCATTCTCATATGGTAAAAATACCTGATCAAATATTATGTGTTTTGACTATAGTATTGATTCAGAATCTCCTAGAATCAAATACATTTATATCTAAGTTTGCAGTATACATACATCTTTTTTCTGACCGCGAAAGCTGGCTGAACAGTTCTGTTGCATGATGGATATCTCCTCTGGCCCAGAATGCATAAGGTAGTGTCATATCAAAGAACTCTTTGACGATTTGTGGAAGTCTAGAAAAAAATACATTTAGTATTATTTTAAAACTTTGAATAATTTTCTCTACATGGTTTTTTCCAATCTTCAGACTGTACAAGTTTTGAGATATTTCTCAAGATTTTTTTTGATAGAATAAGCATTTTCCACCAATTTTTTTCCTACATTACAAATATAATAGAGAGGCAAGTTATCCATATATTTTGATGTATATTTTTTTGCCAGTATGTGGTGAATGAATCTAATCTGATCAAATGTAATCATGTACATGTTCCTTTTATTTCTCTATCAAAAAGTTTTGTTTGGGTATGATTATATGGACAGGTGGAGAAGCTGATCCTCTATAATCCCTTCCCATATTAAACTAATTTGTTTGCAGGGAGTAGAATGGGAGAGGGGTGTTACATTGTACAGGACTATTCCTATCTTTAAACCTTTTGGCTGTGTGAACTGTTTACCTTTTAGATAGCGTATGTTTTATTCTTTGACTGGCAGTTTTGGCAGCCATTCTTAGTTGTGCCTCCTCGCTCTTATAGGGGACTTTACTCCTCACTTTCCTCTGAGATATTTGAGATGGAAGCATGCATTCAATTAAAGTCCCCAGTACTAAAAAAGTGCAGTGTTATTAGAGATTCAGAAAATGGATTAATTTTAAAACATATTTTTTTTTATATCAAAGGCAATATCCAAAGTAAATATTCATATACATGTAGTCTATTTCAAATTTCATAATTTCTTAATCTTGAATAGTGATGGGAAATAAGAATAATAATATTTTAAGGAGAAAAAATAAAATGAATTAAATTTACCAAAACTGTATCCAACTCGGTAAACAACCATCACCCCCCCCCCTCCCCCACCAACAGCTGTGTCAAATATAAAGTTCACCGTATTAAAATCTGGAAATTTTTACTGTAGATAATTTTTTAGCAAATTTGTGAGTTCACTGCATTAGCAAAAATATTTTTCTTAAAAATAAATTTACAAAATTGAACAATTTAGGGGAAAAAATCAGACCTGACAAAAACCAAGGCATATGCTGCAATATTTTGTCAGAGGAATACTGCGTAAGTGGTGGACACAGTATTGCATGTCCACTGGTGTACATCATACAAGCTGTGACTTTGTTCTTGTTGTAAACATCTGTAAACTGTATGCTGGACCTATTTACATAAGGCAGAGAATACCACACACTGCGCATTGGAAGTTTCGATACCTGAGAAAATTCATTGAATCCTAATCTTCTTTTCCAGTACAAATAATTTTCTTCTTTCTTTTCCACAAAAGCCAGCATGTTTAACAGCCATCCATACTGAAATTTCTTAAACTGTAAGTCTGCATTAGCCCCATAGATCTGGGACTTAATTAGATGGGGCATAGAGTCTGATGGTAACCTAATTCCTCTCAGCATCTTAATACATAGAAAGGACAGACTTGGCACTTCCCTCAACACAACGATTTGTTTCCCCTGGATTTCAGACACAACTTCTTGGATATCCTCCTCAATGCTAAGACCACAGTTCATAAATGGCAGAATCTGATCACAATAAGTCATCTGATATCGTCTTTTACGTTTCTGCTTTTTACTTGGAGCTCTGTGTCGAGTGTTGGCCTGTGAAGGATAATTCATAAAACCTACTTCATTTTGTAAATTAATCTCATCTACAGCTTCCTCCAAACTCCCTGTAGATTCTTCCGAGTCCATTTCTTCATCGGCTGAGTAATAAGAACTCTCTGAATCGTATTCTTCTTCCTGTGCTGATGATGCTGATGATGAAGAGAACTCCTTGTCTTTTTCCTGATCGTTAGCCATGTTAGCCTTACTTGCCTCTTGCTCTTTGAGGGATTCTTTCTGCAGCTGCTTCTTCTTTCGGTTTGGCATTTTGGTTTCATTTTTAAATTCCCATGACACCATACGGGCATACTCTGGCCTCTTCTTTGCATGTTTGATTAGATCTTTTAACAAATCTTCATTTTCATCCATTTTAGAATCTAAAAACAATGAATCTAAAGCATATAAGAATATATGATTATCAATCTTTAATTTTTATTCAATAAAAAAAGATATAGTATTACATAGCTATATAGAAAAATGTATATGCTCTCTTTCTTAATGCTAGTATATACATGCATTAGTATTGTTTGCTTTTAAGCAAAGTAATTTAAGTGCATTAAATCAAGGGGATAATTATATATTCTCTGATGAGAAATAAATGGTTCGTTAATAACCCCCCGCCCCTCAAGTGACCAGGAGAAAGCAAATGGATCATCTACTTCTCAGTAGAGACTGGGAAAATATTAGCTGCAGATCTGTAGACTGTGTTAAGGTTTTATATATTTGTCTTTGACCATAACGCTACAGATCCCGTAGTGCAAAAAAGGTGCAATTTACGGCGCAATATTTTTTGCACTCTTTTGGGGAGAATTTCTCCACTTTCCAGCATCATTCAATCAACTACCTTTCAACCCCTAATTCTAGATACATTATTTAATTAATATGTATATTTTATCCATCTCCCAACCCTTTATAGTCATCTCTACAAGTGATAAACTCGCTTGATTAAAATTATTTGTTAGATTACTGAAAATTCATATCCAGCGAGTTTATTGCCTGTAGAGACAACTATAAATGGTTGGGAGGTGGATAAACTATACATATTGGCTACAGAATGTGTCTAGAATTAGGGAGGAAAGGTAGTTGATTGACCAAAGCTAGAAAGTGGACAAATTCTCCCCAAAAGAGCGCAAAAAATATTGTGCCGTAAATTACACTTTTTTTTGCACTATGGGATCTGTAGCATTATGGTCAAAGACAAATATTTACATTCGCTGTGTTTTTCTACAAAGACAACTGTGAAATTGATTTGAAAGTCATTTTTGTGTATACTCACGCGTAGAAATATACACGGAGAAACGTGCATTAACATGACGTCACAATAAGACTACAGAGACGTTAGTAAAAGTATAACGATATAGGGTAGCGAGAAATTCAAATATTGAGTATTTTTTGGTGCTTCCAACCATGTAAAATGTAAATATAAGGAATGTTTTTAAGTTTAAAGTGAATTATTGGTGTGTGAATCACACAGACTTGCACATAGGCATATTTGTCTGTGTGACAAGTCTGTGTGATTCACACACCAATAACTCACACAAAACTTAAAAACATTCCTTAAATATATAAAACCATAACGCTACAGATCTACAGCTAGGAAAATATAACCTGATAAAACTGTTGGCTTTAACAGCTTAACGGTTTAACGTGTTTAAAAGTTAAGGACGTTCGATCCTGAGATTTTGAGCGTATTTTGGTCAGGTCATTTATTTATAAAATTTTGCATCATTTTTAAGTTCTAACATTAAATCTGAATTCTAATGTGCAAATTTAACAATATCCAATGAAAAAAACCACAATTAAATTCCATTCAAGTAGAATTAAGCTTGGGACTATATTTTGTGGCGGAAGGTTTTTTAGACGAAAATGATCAGTTTTTCCATTTTGAACTATAACAGTACTGTAAATTTTGGATTCCTATTTTTCCATCCTGGTTGCACACAAAGCTGTTTTTTGCAGTGAAATGTGTTATGCTGGTTCTGAAATATCTATTAAATTATTTCTTATGAATTCTGTCAAGAAAGTGTGACAAATATAGTCAATATATTCTGAAAATTCGGGAAAAAATTGAGCCGATTTTAACGTAAAATTGACACTTTTTTAGTGATATCTGAAAATTTACATCATATACCCCCACTTTTGATGTTCTTTTCTAAATATTCAAGATAAATTTGACCTATTTGCTTAAAATCAGAAAAAGTTTAAGACTTTAAAATAATTTTCTTGCTTATTAAATTTTCAATGCCAGAAAAATCACTTTTTATTAGTGCAGAAAGGTCAAATAATTGATTATGCGAAGCAATTTGAAACTTTTTCTTAGTCACAATTTTTAAGTATCTCTTTTTAAAAAAACTTAGAGTTCATTTTGTTTCATGCTTTAATTGGATAAAAATGTTGGAGGGAAAACGTCAAAAATTTAATTTTTAATTAAGACACAAATTTCAGTGCAAGAAGGTCATATTAAATGTACTGTAGCGCCAAAAGAAGCCTATTGACCCCCATTTTTTTATTTGAATTTTAATTAAGCTATGTATGTAGAAACTAAAAATATACTTGGCAAAAAAAGTTTAAGACTTTAGATATCAGGATCGAACGTCGTTAAACAGAGTTTGTTTGATGCAGTCATGCACTTTGAAAATTAATTAAAAGAAGAACAAAATAAATATATCATGCAATTAGGAATGTACCTAACAAGATTCCCTACTCTTGAAACTAGCAAACAGAAACTGTTTCCTTGTTTTCACAGTTTTGTTTACAACACCGGTTCCTTGCACCCGATTGCGCAATCATCGCTTTTGATAGAACAACGATCCCGACCTATAAACCGATCAGGAACAAGATTGTAAACCATTTCTTTTTCTGTCATCAGAGTTTTAAAAAAATAATTATTGATTATGTTTTTACTTGAAAATTACCATTTGTATTACGCCTACCTTTCATTGATGATCATCATTCTTTTTACTTGGTAATTACACTTTATTAAACTATAACACTTTTAGTGATATTTGAGTACTCTGAGGAGGGCATCGACGATAGTGGAATTTCCCACTATCGCATGGCATACTATGATAGCTAGACAGTAATTCCTATAATTCCTTTGAACAATGTGAAATAAAATTGTCAATTTCGATAGTTCTCGCCCACTGGTGTCAGGTAGAATTATTTTTTAATCACCAATAAACTCATAAAAGTGAATGGGAAAATCCGATTGGGCAGCAGGCAAAGCCTTTATATTTTAGTCCTCTCGGGTAGAATTATCAAGAAACGAACTCCACTATCTTTCAAAGAGTTATCACAGAGAAAAACAAATAGAAATGGAAATATATAGAATTCATGTGACGATTCCCCATTTTTGCACCCAAAGGCAAATCTAGAAAGAGGGGGGGGGGGGGGGGGGGGGTCCGGTGCAGACAAACGACCTCTATAACAATATTGTTTTATTAATTTGTGGCAAAAAGATGGATTCTTACAATGAAATTTAACCCGTGAGACCTCACATTAAGCCCCATTTTCATATGACATGTATGTTGATAGTTTTATTTAATTTGATACTTTTCACAATAAAATTATTTAGAAGGGGCAAAAACATCAGTCTGAGAATAATAAAGAATACAGAAAAGAAACATAACAGTTTATAAAAATCTATACCCTCTGATACTAAAACAGAGAGTATGAAGTTTTATGCCTCCTTAAACGAAGTTTCGGAGGTATATATAGTTTTTTTTTCCTGTCTGTTTATCAGCAAAACCTTGAATGTATTTGCTCATAACGTTTGAGTGGGCAGGGCTATGGCTTTCATATTTCACAACTTGTGACAAGACCTATCTTTACGCACCACAAACTTTGAATTCTTGACCTTGGAGTTTCACCTACTTTTACAAAAATAGAAATACATGTACCACACTTAGTTTAACCTTGGCCATAGCTTTTGAACAGTTAGTTCTAGGGCCTTCATATCTCACATCTGTGCTTCTTGTGACCTGTGTATAAATATTTTTTACCTTGACCTTAGCGTTTGGCTTACTTTTTAAAAAACTTTAATCTTGGCCACAACTTTTGAACAATTGGAACTATGATTTCATATTTCGCAAGTGTATCCCTTGTACATCAAGATCTTCCTTTGGGTACCAGCACTTTTGACCTTTTAACATGCACTGACCTCTGAAGTTTGACACGCAATTGCGAACATTCAAACTCGATCACCATAAGCTGCCATACGGGGACATCAGTCGTTCACAAGCATGCCTTTTTTTATCATTGGAACCTTATCAACCTCGGGAGCAGCATATTTGCGAACTCAAAGATATCTGCAATTGTCATTTGATCTGTTGAAATAATATTATAAACATATTTAGCTCTTCTGAGCCGAAGGCTCAAAGATGTGGCACGCCAATTTCACAAAAATGAGCTAAACATAGTTTCATAGTCGATAAACTATAGGTTAACAACGTTAATCTATATTTTACATATGGCACGCCAAATTCACAAAAATTAGCTAAACCTAGTTTCACAATTGATAAACTAGGTTTATCTACTGTAAACTATAGTTTACAAACCGTAAACTATAGTAAACGATTCGTAAAGTATAGTTTTCATCTGTAAAACTATATTTAACGGTTGTTAACTATAGTTTACGAATGCTAATCTAAGTTTATCTGTCTGTAATAAGCGTTAACAATAGATTTTGTCGATAAACATAGATTCACGTTGGTAAACTATAGTGTACAATCGTAAACTATTGTTAAGAGTTGTTAATCATAGTTTCACAGATGTGAAATATAGATTAACGTTGTTAACTATAGTTAACAGTTCGTAAACTATAGTTTACAACCGATAATTCTAGTTTATCGACTGTGAAACTATGTTTATCTCATTTTTGTGAATTTGGCGTGCCATATTTACATCTGTAAACCATAGTTAACGCGATAATCCATGTTTAAGAACCGTAAACTATACTTAATTCTGAAAACAACCATTTGCGTATGCAAAAAACAGATTATCTGATAAATACAGTTTCACGATTTGTAAACTATGGTTTACAACTCTTAACTATAGTTAAAATCTGATAAATATAGTTTTACGATTTGTGAAACTATGATTAACAACTTTTAACTATAGTTCACGATTGTAAATTATAGTTTACAGACGTAGATATACGTTTATCAACAAAATCTATTGTTAACGTAGATTAGCATCCGTAAACTATTGTTAACAGCCATTAAATTTAGTTTTGCAGATAAAAACTATAGTTAACAAACTGGTAACTAGAGTTCATGGTTTGTAAACTATAGTTTACAGTCGATAAACCTAGTTTATAAACTGTAAAACTATGTTTAGCACATTTTTGTGAATTTGGCGTGCCATATGATGAGCTGATACTATGGCCATTTGTGCGGTGTGCGTAAACATTTTAAAATATGGGCCATAACTCAAGAACCCTCTTGCCCAATCCTTGTCAAAGTCACATGGTATCCTTGGCCCAAGGGCTACCATTTGAATTAAAACTAGGGTTGGGACCCTTAAACAAGGGGGATAATCAGGAAAATAAAACCAAAAGTATTGGTTGCTGAAAAATCTAAAACCACTGGGCAGATTATCACCAAACTTACAAGGATGAGGATATGTTATAGATTAAAATTTGCACGGGAAATTACCTTGGGGCAAAGTGTATGGTCTTAAAGTCACTTCAAAGTTGAAAAAAAAATTACTTTATAAAAATGTTGATAATTTGCTTACTATAAAGACTAGGATCATCAAATCTTGTAAGTTGATGCTTCTAAGGACTTCATTTTAATTCAAAAATATGCCATGGTGACCAACTTTTTAAATTCTGTTGAAGTGATAAGATTTGAAGGCATATAATTATTTTGGACATTTTAAGGCCTCTGATCATCAAACTTTGTCAGTAGGTGCATTTTGGGTCTTCAAACAACTATGTTTTTATGGCTTATATCTTCTACAACATTTAAGGCAATTATTTCAGATACTAACATGTTTAAAATCACTAAACCTTTAAGTTGATGCTTGGAGCTTGAATAATTTTTTTGTCAAAAAATAGGTCACAGTGACGATCATCAAAGTTTGTCAGTTGATGGCTTGATGCATCTTGGCTCTTCGGAGAATACTGACCAGAAAGTAGGTCAAAACGACCTTTTTTGACATTTCATGGCTATATTTAAGTATCTAGGGTACTTATTGGCTTAGATTCATCAAACAATCTTTGTAAGTTGATTCATCTTAGGTTTTTGGACAATGTCAACCAAAATGAAATATTACTGCTTTAGTATCTCTGGTCCTTATTGGCATAGAATCATCAAACTTTGTCAATTGATGCATCTTACATATAGGTTTTGGAGAACGTCGACCAAAAAGTAGGTAACGGTGACCTACTTTTATAATTTCGTTGCTATATTTAAATACCGGTATCTCAGGTAATTATTGGCTTAGAATCATCAAACTAATTGTCGATTGATGCATCTTGGGTTCTTTGACAATATCAACCAAAAAGTAGGTCATGTTGAACTTCTTTTGAAATTTTCTTTATCTTTATATTTCAGATAATAAAGGGCTTCGAATCATCACACTTTTTCAGTTAAATATCCTGAGCTCTCAATGTTTAACCAAAATATAGGTCAGTATGACCTACTTTTGCTATTCAGGGATACATAAAAGCTTCAAATAGAAGTGAGAGATTGTACAATTGATCAGAAAAGCTATTCAAGGCCCTTGGCATCTTGTTTTAGTTTATATTGATATGAAGACCCCTTAACGGATTTGTATGGCAAGCCCTTTTATTATTTATTCGAAAATAAAATTTATCTTAAAATTACAGAGATATCTCTCATTTTAGGGAGATATCTCTTAAAAAATAGAGATATTTCTCAACTTACAGATATCTCTCATTTTTAAATGATATCTCTATGAGAAAAAGATATCTCTTAAACTTAGAGAGATATCTTTTATACTTAGATATATATCTTTTTTTATTAGAGAGATATATCTTCTACTTAAAAAGATATCTCTTTCTCCTTAAAAGATATCTCTTTCGTGAAAAGAAATATCACTTTCGTGAAAAGAGATATCTCTAAACGTTAAAGCGATATCTCTTTCACCTAGAGAGATATCTCTTTTACTTTTGGAGATATCTCTTAAAGTTAAAGAGATATCTCTTAAAGTTAAAGAGCTATCTTTCTCAGTTATTCTTAAGAGATATCTCTTAAAGTGAAAGAGATATCTTTCAAAAGTGTCTAAAAGAGATATCTCTCTTCATATTTTTTTTTAAATTTAAATTCCATTTCAAATGACTTCTTCCTTACCGGAAGTAAGCTTTTTATTGGCGGAAATACTCAAATTAGGAATAGTTGATTATTTCATAAGCTGAGAAAATTCGGTCCATTGCATCTGAGGTTATTTATGCTTATATTTTCGTTTTCCTGAATATTAAACTTTTAGCATTTTTATCAACGAAGTTACCATTATTTTTTGTTGTTTCAAGTAAAGGATTTATAGCATTTTTGTCTACAGTACGTGTATTATTCTGGGTAATTGCTAATACTGCTCAGTCTTTTTTCTTATAACATCGAAACTATTCCAGAGACTTTACTTCCTGCTTCACTTTTGCTTTAAAGTGGAGAATTTATTATTCTATTTTAAGCATCACTGGAAAAGAAATACCTCTTTCATTAAAAGAGATATCTCTTTTGCTTATAAAGATATCTCTTTTTGAAAATCTAAAGAAATATATCTCTAACTAAGAAAGGTATCTCTTTTAATCTTGTTAAAGAG